CTGTGCGATTTTGAACTGCAGTGGACCATCTGGGAGTCCCTTTCAGTTATCTGTTCTTGTAAACTGTCATGTAGGATTTTACTGGGTAACAAGGAGGTCATACAACTACGCACTTGGAGTCAGTGGGTGAACTGGGAGGCACATGCAGAGTGATCAGTCACCGACAGACCTGACCATGTGATTGACCACTGGTCATGCTGAGCATCTATTACTGTAGTGATTTGTAGGGTAAGAACTGGCATCAAAGTTTGTATTTTACGTAGTCACTCAAAGTTAATACACCGTGGTAAGTGAAATTTGAACCGTGTTGTTGGGTATTTATGTAACTGAAGTGTGGTAACTGAAACTTGTACATAGGGAGATCCTGTGGAGTGAAGGCTGCAGGCAACAATGTAACTGGCAGAAATCCTGAATTGAGAGGGAAAAGGTCTGAGTCTGTTAAGCCTGCTGTTCTTGGCAGGGTGTTAACAAATACTGTCTCAAGTTGAAAATGAGTTGACACAGTGATTCTGACCTTTATCTATTTTTTCTTAATCACTATTTTATTAATTTTAGGATAGCTTAGGGAGTCTCTCAGTGAAGAAAATACAAAAGTTGAGCAGGCCTTTCTTGTTTCTCTCCTTTTCTTGTAAGACCGTGGCCCTTAGGTGATCACGCTCCAGTCCAGGTTCACGGAAGTAGCCATCCAGCTGAAAAGGCCTGCTGTGGCTCTCGGCCACGTATGCAGGCCATCAGCGCCAGCTCTCATACCCTTTGGGTGTTCACATAAATCCCACGGAAGCTCGTCTTTATTCCTAATGACCCGTGTTGTGGTCAGCACAGCTCATCTTCCCTACTCCATTATCCATTTTGATACTTCAAAAAAATTTTTTTTAAGAATTATTTATTTTTTATTTATTTTAAATGTGACCAGAGACAGAATGAGAGAATGAGAGAGAGAGAGAGAGAGAGAGAGAGAGAGGGAATGTGGGAAAACAAGCCTCCAGGCCTGGGATTTGAACATTGGTCAACCACGTAGGAGTCCAGCACCTCAACCATTATGCCACCTGCTGTTCCTGGAACTTCAAAATTTCTTATTTCCAAGCTTACCTACAAGAGTATTTCTAAAAGTTTGTGGCAAATGGAATTAAAGTACAAGTTTATTTTGTTACAAAAATTTTTTGAAATCTATGCATAATTTTTTATAATATGCATTTTCCATGAACTTTTTGGAGACCCCATGAATGTATTATTTCTTAAAAATATATTCATTTAATTGTAGTCATAGTGGATATGCAGGAAGATTTCTGCATGTGCTTTGTCACTATCTGGACCAGAAATGATCTGTCATGGTCATTCTTAAAAAATCCCATTTATTTCAAACTATAAAGCATCTGTTAATCAATATTATAAAATATGTGAGACCTGTAGGAAAAAAACTGAATTTATAAAAGAAGATCTAAGATACAGAGATATATGTTATACTAAGAAGGGAAGACTTGTCTTAAGTTAGGTTCTGCCAGTTAAAATTTTAATAGAATATTAAGGAAATTTAAAGTCTTCCAGAGAAGTACAGAAAGCATACTGCAAAGATAGAATAATTAAGAGTATGGTTTTGGAGTAGGAATAGGCAAGCAGGTCTGTAGAGCAGAATGGAGACCATGGAAACATGTTAGTAACAATTCTGAACACTTAAAACCAGTATTTCAAGCAGTTGAGGAAAAGATGGATTATTTAAAATGTAGTATTTAGAAAATTGGTTATTTTGTGAGAAGAAATAGCAATTATATTGCTGTTAAATACCATAAATAATAGTAGATTCCAGATGGAGTAAATATCTAAACATAAAAAAAGGAGTACTGGCCTTTGAGCCATTCTTCCTCTGCCCACTGAGGTCCACTCCTACCTCTCAGGAGTATACTTTTACTCAGTAAATTACCTCTTCCTTACACTAAAAAATAAACGAATGTAAGCACTGTTTTTAGAGGCTCAGGTAGCCTTTTAAAGCATGGCTGAATCCAAAAACCATAAACGAAGAATCTGATAGATTTAATTATGTAGGGGGCAGGGAGGAGGATCTTCAAAAAATTCAGGTAAAATGACTGTTATGAAAAAAACTGCATGGGTTTCAGTTTTTAATTTTTTCTTTCTATAGGATGCGTGGGCTCTCCAGAGACAGAGAGAGACAGAGAACATGAGAAATCACCCCTTAGGGGGATGGCCACACTACCTTCCCTTCTCCATCCTCTTCTTGAGATCTTGGGAATGTACACACATGCAACTGGCGTGATTTTTAAGCTACCAGGTCTGGGACTCAAACTGCATGGTGGCCATGTGGGATCCAGTGCCTTAACCACCATGCCATTTGCTGGCTCTGGATTTCTGTTTTTTTTTTTTTTTTCCCCACCGAAGTAAACTTGAATTCCATTTTTCTATGAGCCTTTTGAAGTCTCCTTGTATTTAAAGCTTATGGTGTAAACACCGTAAAGTTAAAAAATAAAGACAAGAGAAAAATACTTACTGTATATAACAGACATAATGTATAGAGTCTTTTTTGGCCAACAAAAGACCAGCGCATGTGCCCTATAGCAAAAACCTCTCAAAAAAAAAAAAAATAGAAAAATGGACAAAAGCTATAAGCAGACCTTAAAAGACATAGTGTTGACTAATACAAAAAGATGTTTATCCATATTAATAATGAAACACAAGATAACTAATCCAGGGTATTTGGCAAAGGTATACTCTTGATAATCTCTGAGGGGACTTCAAAAAGTTCATGAAAAAACGGAATTAAAATGCAGTTTTATTTTGGTGTAAAAAAGTTTTAAAGTTTGGGCATAGGTTTTTGTTTTTGTTTTTGTTTTTTAACAGTGCACATTTTCCCATGAACTTTCTGAAGATCCTACCCCTTATAAAGAATGTACATTGGTGACCTCAAATTGGTAGTGTTTATTAAAAATTAATTATCAAGGGCCAAAAGTGGTATGGAGGTTAAGGTGCTAGATCTCACATGTCCAGCTAAGTGATTCAAGTACCAGAACCACTGGCTCGAAAATCACACCTGGCACGTGTGTGTACATGCCCATAATTCCCCGAGGAGACTGGAAGTGAAGATATGGTGGCACGGCCATTCCTGGCCATTAGGGGATGATTTCTATCTTTCTTTCTCTGTCTCTCTCTAATGAATGCACGTACCCTATAGAAAAACTAAAAAAAAAAAAAAAAAAAAAAAAAAATTTTTTCACCCACCAGG